AATGATATTTCGTAAAAGTTGAGAATCTTCACACATGAAACAATTGGACCATTGGGTACGATATCTTTCTTTTTCCTGAAAATTGGTTGGCACGGTCCACTTAGGCGAGACAATCGATTTGAAACGTATAAAAGCCCTAACAACCTTCCACATTATTGGAGCGTTTAATATCGCATGAAAATTTAAAGAGAAGCTTTATTACACTGATAAATCAGGTAGAATTCAATTCAGTTTCCAGTGAAAAAGCCGATTTATTTATGGTTGTGGAAAATAACGAGATCAATAACTCCCTTTTCTTATTTTAAACGCAATCAAAATGACATCTGGGAAGAGGAAAAGAACGTTAACTTCTTAACTTCTTAGGGAAAATTCATCAATCTATCTTATTTATTACGCTTTGCCGAATATTGAACAGCTTTCTTAGAAAAAGGATTTCACAAATAAAAATGGTTATAAGATAGTTATAATAAAGTGAAGAACTTATTTAACCAATTGAAGTAACATTATTTTATGTTGTAAATACGTATACGCGTCAGGACAATCTGAGTAAAGTCGAAATATCCCTTTTCGTGCTAGAAAATTTTGTACGGCAGCGGATAATGTTTACTCAAAATTCTTTCTGTCTGGTTTGACTGAATGCTAGGATTATTTCAAGAAATATTTTTGATGAATAACGCACATCGCTACCAACGAATTGTACGGTGAATGCAGCGCATACCATAATTTATAATTTTTGTATGCCTTTTAATTAAAAAGTAAAAATGACTACTATTATTAATCCCTGATGACTGGTAGAAAAAATATAACCTCAGCATAAATTCGAATGATTTACTGCAAAATTCATCTCATGAGTAATCGGGCCAATATTATATTACTTATTACTCTATAATGATTTTTTGGCAAATTAGGACAGGGTCCATCCGGCCGATGGTTACTTTCATGTTTTCTCGACCTTCCATGACTCCTATAATCGAGTATAAAGAACAGATATAGAGTACAAAAGTAGCTCGCCATTTCTGTTTGTCGTTTGGCGTCTGTATGTCTGTAGGTTCTGTCTGTCGTCTATGTCAATATTTATTAGATAGACAATCTCCGAAACTATCGGCCCGATTGTTGTCAAGTTTTATTTGTTTTTAGAGTATCGTTAACATTAACTTAAATATCTCATACATGAACATGATCTGAGTACTGAGTACTTAACATGCGCATGAAGAAAATATATATATACACAGAATATTATCTCTTAGTACTGATACAATTCAAAAACTTAAAACATCTAAGGTATGCAATTAATAAAACTCAAGACGCTATGGTGTTAAACTACCTAACTAATTGACTCAATCCCCCTCTTTTTTTCCCTATCCACTACTGATCGTCAATTTGAACCTGTGATTGTATATATGAAAGTGTGCCATTACCGCGGCTTTTTTAAAATCTGTCTCGTCGTTGGACTTGGAATCATTCCTGCGTTGAGCTAACCTTTTTTGAATAATTTTTCACGTTTGACGTTCAAATAACAAAAATTTTGTCAATAAATAATACAATTATTAAATGTTATTTATAGACAAAGTTTTTTATGGTAAGCACTGTATTAACAGTACTTATCGGTGGAATCTCGTCGCTCTCATTATTGTAAAGCAAAACGTAAAGCTGGTATATATTACAGAATGTCATTACTTGCCTGTTCATAATGGAAACACCACACATCTCCACATTAGACAGTAAACAACACTATGTCAGTAACAGAAGTCGATTAATTGCTAGGTGTGTTGAGAGCAGTGTCATATTGAATTGCAAAACACTATACATTATAAGCATTTAATAAGCCGCTTATAAAGGAAATCTCGACACATCACTAGGTATCATGGTTACCGATTTCCCATACTAACTCTTAGATCTTGTCTCCATCATCCATCGTTTGAAAGCAAAAGTAAATCCGTTTTTAGATATCGAGCGTTCTCAGTTGAAAAAGTCATCAAGTTGGCGTTGATACTGTGAAGTATGTCTATAATAAATCTAAAATATAATTAATGACGGTTAACGTGGAATGGTACAACCTAACGTCACTTTTTCGTATGATTAAATTAACCCGTTTAAACATCTTTTTAAAGTTGAATAGATAAAAAAATGGAAGGAATAATACATATGTACGGTATGGAATTATTATTTATTGTATATTTGTTTTAAAGTAACAGCAAAAAAACTCCTCTCAAAATTTCTACAAACACTTTCTAACATAATAGCATCCATGGGCAACCTTTTCTGTAAGACGGGCCTAACGGAAAATATATCGGGCAACCGCGGGCCACCAAATAAATAATAATACACAATAATTATTATATATGTATGAGGGTACACTTAATACAGGACAAACATACTGTAAACAATAAAATATAAATGTACTATAAAATTAAAACAAATTTGTTATTCAAAAAGACACTTCAACATAATATATGTGATCACATAGTGATGTGTTTTAAATTTTGGTCCGTGATTCTCGATCGATTTTTGCATTTTGTATAGTTCATTTGCGTAAAAAACTGCTCACAGCCAATATATACTACCAAAGAGACACATTATTTTACACAAAAATTTTAAAATTTGGGTATTTATCTTTGGGAAAGTATTTTTGATAAAAATCAAGCAAAGTCACATCTCTATTAAAGATGGCTTTCAGGGCATCATCTGATTGAAACTCTATTAACTCCATCTGTAAACTCTCTGGCATGATTTCTACGTCCACGTCAAAAGGATTAAAAAAGATGTAAATAGTACATTACGTGCCAAGTATAGAAAAGTGAAGTTTTACCAAACGAGTATGGTTCGTTTGAGTACGAGTGAGCGAAGCGAACGAGTAACTTAAAAACCATACGAGTTGTGAAAAGACTTTTCTATCGAGGCGCGTGTACTATTTTTTCGCATTTCATAACCAGATATTATTTGCGTTAATAATTTTAAATATTATGTAAAAGTCAAGTACGAATAAAAAAATAATAGTAGGTAACGCTTTTCAATAACGTAGCAACCAAGCAGAACTTGTTTTTCGCATACAACGACAGTCAAACAATTTTTTCGCATTTCATTCAATAATACACTAGATTTATGCACTTCAAATCGTACAGTAAAAACTCATTTTACTGAATAGCCAACCATTACTGCATAGCAACCATTACTGCATAGCTACCATTACTGCATAGCAACCATTACTGCATAGCAACTATCACTTTTTTCGCTTCCCGCCACTGGCAAAATACTCCATACGTCTTATTATAAGTATAAGTATTTTTCCTTTGATTTCGCAGGGAGCAGACTCGTGCAAGCTTCCCGGGCAGCATTCAAAATATCCTCACTTACGGGAATATTCCGTGAATCCATTTCTGATTTAGTTTAAAATATTTTTTTCGCCTCCTGACATGTAAACAAAACATTCATACACCTTTGACATGCCGCGTAACAATGACTTTACGCACCAAATATCAATTTACCGTTGCTTTACCGCCTTTGGGTGCCAAAGTAATTCAATATGCATTAGCCTCTAGAAGCTCTAATAAAAAAAGTTCTGTCTAAAAATTAAAAGAAAACATACTTGAATACTACTTTACATCATGTTTTGTTCGATCAAAACTTTTGAATTAGAAAAAATGAATTATTAAAAAAAAAATCACATGGTGCCATCTCATGGCTGCCGGTATTATAGATTCCTTCAGCAAACGTCAAGTCTATAAACTGTCACTTCATTATTTCCATTTCGAAAAATATTTTTAAAAACAAATATTTTTTAAAATAAAATCAATGTCGGCGAAAAAATTGAATACAATTTTCGTGCGTTAGGCATTTTGCAGGTTTCGGTCCCATGCCACCCTCTGCTTCGCGTCGGGTGGCAAATTAGGACCTCAACCTGCAAAATGTTACCTACCGCACTCATAATGTAAATAACTATTTTGCGCTCATTAATCAAAAATCAAGTTATCACGCACTCTAAGGGCGATCGGAAACGTCAAATTTGCAGGTCTGGTGTGTTTCGCGAGCACTCGTGTGCGAAAAACGGGGGGTTTTTTTCTTCTTTAAAAGAACGTTAAAAAATAAACTATCCTACCAAAGTTAAAGAATCTAAGCTTAAATGTTACTTTTCAACTTGTTCTATGTTGAAAACATCAAGATTTTCTTGAAATAAATTAATTTTTGAAAAAGGACAGCACCATCTATTGGAAATTTTTTGACAGATGACAAGGTGACAGACTCTGTGCTTTCAATAGTGTCAGTGATAGAGATGGGCAAAATCGTTCCACGCGTGGAGCGCTACAACCGCTACCGCTACAAGAAAATAGCGCTCCAAGTAACTAGTTACTTTGGAACGTATTCATCACGAGTGGCGTTTGAGTACGACGCTTCCACTTGTCCGCTTGGAACTTGGAACGAATGTTCCAATCTCAAGTACCAATATGTAGCGAACGGACATTCTGGACACAATAAATACTGACAACAATTAGGACGGGCACTCTACTTTCATTTTAATAAAAAAAATAATAAAATAAACAAAACTACAAATATTTTTATAGTCTTGTTTTCGCAACTTTCTGTGTTCATTCCCAATCTTCTACTAGACTGAGATTTTACAATTTTTTTCGGTTCCTATTGAAATACATGTATTCAATTAAAACTTATTTATAAACTATTTTATACCTAAGCTTTTATATCTTTTCTGATAATGAGTCATTTATATCGACCGTCGCATTCTTACAAAAAATTATCGAATATGCAGCGTCTTTGATACCGCCCTCAAACAAAATACAACACTTGCTGATTTTGCCGATTGCTTTATGATAAAACCGCTTTGCTTTTTATTTTATCTGTTTATTTAAATATTGTTAAACCTTTACTTTTGATCTGCGTTGCATACATTTTGTTTTTATTTTTTTTTTTTCATAAATATTATAAAATAAATACCTATTTATAAACGTTTCCTGATATCTTTTTTCGAGTTGATAAACACACAATTATTTTAATGACTGAAAGATTATTCTCTTTTTTTTTCAGTTCCCAAGCCCTCACTATTTGCGTTTCTTGTAACGTTCCGGACAAACGTGTTTTATGATTTCGTTCCTTGAATTTCCGTCCCGTAACTCCCGTACAAATATCGTTTCAAGTTCCAAGTGGAACGCAGAGTGGAACGTGTTACTTTTGTCGCGAGGAGCGCTACACTCCGCTACTCGATGGTAGCGCTACAATGGAACGGTTCCTAAAGTAACGACCCATCTCTAGTCAGTGAACACCGATTAAAGGGCACGGTGTGATCAACTAAAGATGATTAATAAGACAAAATTTAGAGAACATTTTATTACAAAAGATAGTAACAGAAGTTTTAATGTTACAGGTAAATATGAACGAACTACTAATTATTCGGTGTCTTTGTTCTTATTACTGTTGTAAATGTTTACATTAATTGTACATTGATTACAGGAGGAAATCGAAACACCAGAAGCCTTTAAAGTATTTTCGTTATTAAGAGCAGTGGAAACATGGTAACTATTTGGTTTCGACGGCCCTGGTTCTGCAGAGAAAATGTAAGTATTTGATTTTGACAATCCTGGTTCTGCACAGAAAATGTCTGCAATTTTCATTTTATTTTTTTCAGAATCCTGAATGTAACCTTCGGCAACTGACGAAGATTTCCATCCACCATGCCGTTTGATTGATAAAAAGTCACTTCCTTTATTTGCTAATAATGTAGCACTGCTTCTCCTGAAGCAGTGACCACTGTAATTTTGAGGATTTTGCAGCTTCAGATACCCAGCAATTAAAGATGGTACTCTGCCAATAGTGTTAATACCGACGGGGGAATTTATACATTTTCCATCACGGTATGTTAAAAATAATCTTTTGTTCTTACCTTTTACTAACAATCGTATTTTTAAGAACTGATCAATTACTTTGATCCAATCACCTTTTGATATGAAAAATTCTCGTTTAACGTAGGTTTTTGTTTCAGGAATACAAACCATAACAATGTCATCTTTGAAAACAACATCATCAACTAACATCTTGCATAATTCTCCCCTGCGGCACGCGCCAGAGATGCCGATAACTAACAGTGCCTGCAATATTAAGAATACATTTTCAATGTGTCAATATGAACTAATAAAATAAAAATTACCTTCATTAGTAAATAGTCTCTATTCGGTGCAGCGCTTAAAAATTTAAGAATGTGTTCTTCATTAAGTACTTGTGATTTTTTGGGATTATGATGTTCTGTTTTCCTTTTCAACATAGCTATTAATTTTGGATACTTAGAAATATCAATGTTATGTTTTAAATTAATGCAAGATTTTAACATGCTGTAAATACACCATAGTGACTTTTTATGAATACTGATTTCTTCGAAGTACGCTAGCAAGCAGTTTTCGGTGTAATTTTTGATATGTTTACGATCACACCATTTGACGAACTCGTGATAGCTATTTTCGTATCGCGCTCGGGATTTTGTTGGTAATAAATTACTGACCGCTATATTTGCAGTTTCTCTAACTTCTGGAGGGGTGCAACTACCATCCGAAGACATTTTGTACAAATTAGCTTCAATTAGCTTTGACAGTTCTGCTGCTCAGGTGACTAGATGTTGGTTATCGACGACTTGATTTACTTCACAAATGAAATGTAACAAATTTCTAGCAAATAAATTTCTAAATATTGTCATAATGGATTCGCGCAAAAAGTTTTGTACATGCTACGTGCGGGAACAGTTTTGCTTGACTCGTGTGAAATCCACCGCTCGTGCGCGGAGCGCACTCGCCTTGGAAACTACACACTCGTCTGCAAAACAACTGTTCCCGCACTTAACATGTAAATAACTATTTCATGCTTACTGAAATCCTGGAAGCGCCTTGAAAACTCTTCTTTTAATACGTTTAGTTCATTTGCTAAAGCGGCAGAATCAAAATTTTTGTAATTAGCAAGTGTAGGAAAATGGTAAGTATTTTCTGCACGTAATTGAGTTTCCCATGGTTGAAGTTTAGTTCGGAACGACTTGATGTGTGCGAACCTCCTTTTTTGTAAATTTACATTAAGGTCATTTAAGTACCCGGTAATGTCAACTACAAATGAAAGTACAGAGAGCCATACCTCGTCCGGTAACTGGCGAATTGACTTCCCTTTCATTTCTATGAAAATTTGGATTTCACTTCTCAAATTATAGAAGCACTGTAACATCTTCCCTCTACTTAGCCAGGGTACTTCGGTATAATAAAGAACGTCACCATATTCTGACTCAAGATCTTGCAAAAATGTTTGAATAATATATTATTGGAATTTATCTTCTCAAATTTAGTTTTTTTTTTAATTGAAAAGGTAAATTGTAAATTTGAAAACGTTAATTTTAATTGAAGAATTCAATTGTACACATTGCGGGCCAAAGTTACACCAATCAAAAAATCTTTGGCGGGCCGGAAGTTTCCAGTCGGCGGGCCGCATTCGGCCTGGAAACTGTTGCCCATGGATGATAATAGGATTGATTGTTCAGAATTTACATGGACTTTTGTTGGATTTTTTGTTGCAAAGATTTGAACAGATATTTGTAGCATAGAGTTTTAAAGATGGTGCCACAAGAAAAAAATCACTTCATGTCAAATCACAGGAGCGAGGGACCCAAGCAATATCTGCAATTCGACTGATTATTATGTGGTTATCAAAAAACTGTCTTAAACAATTTAATGTTTCCACTCCATCCTGTTGAAAAAAATCAAGCACACGAAATCGCTACCATGTATTACTTTTTACGTTTTGTTACATTATTCACAAACTGCACAATAAAAAGATGCAAAAGTTTCACTTTAGTGCGTCCCATTATCAAAATTATACAAATACTGATAAAGCTGGAGAAATCACAGATGCTATTTTTTGTGATCGTGCTTACTTGGAAATATGTTATGTTTGCAATCAAAACTTAGATAAAAATGCTGAAGGTATCCTCCATTTTTAATTAATTAATTTATATAGTACGTACTCCGTAGCTAAGCGTAGATATTTATGTTTTTTAAGGAATTTTTAAAATAGCAATAAACTTTCTGATATTACATCAAAAGGCCAAACAAACAAAATCGCAATTACTGCCTCAATGACGCACTACGAAAACAACTGTTTTGTTGCCATTGACGTCCTCCATTTATTCTCTTTAATTACAAACTTGTCTGGTAATATTGATGTCTGCACTGTACACTGTTTTCAAGTTAAAACTTGCCGGAAGGCGACCTTGATTACCCAACAATTTTGTGTCTGCTTTATGCTTCAACTTTGAAAAGGAAATAAGATTTGATAAATTGTTCTCTGTCTCTTAAACCGAAAGAGAGTTGATTAAAGTATATGCGCTCAGGTTCTGCACAACACATTTAACAACCGGATTAAATGTTAGACATTTATGACCGGACGATGTAGAATTTATTGTCGACGTGAGGCAATTTTTCAAGCGCTGTTTCAATTATTGGATTTCAATTTTTGAGAAGACGTGCCTTTTAATAGCTAACTGCAGAAGTGATTTTTTTAATCTAAATTGAATCATTCCATTAATTAACCAGGAACGATGCGGTTACGAAATAAAGTGGTAGCTTTGTGTACATTTTTTCGATTATCGTCTGTCAATCCATTCGTGCTCGTGTGCGGGTTACGCGCGAATCAAATTTAACGTTAATTGGAACTAATGATAAAAAAGTTGTCTATGTCAGCAAATCTTACAGGGTTGTATTGATTTTTATATTAAATAGAATTCCTGATTAATCTGGTATAACTTATAACTAATTTAAATGTGCAAAATTTTCATAAGATGGAATTTTTAGTGTCACATCATATTAAAAAATATAATATAATAGAATGGAATATTATTATACTCCTATTAATTTAATACGACATTCTAGTGTAGCACGAGTTGTTTGGGGCATGACGAGTGAAGTGATGGGTGCACCACTACGAACTAAGAACGAGTGTTACAATATGTCTTATTGTACGAGTCTAGTACACTATTTTTTCTATTTTACCCGTTATTTTATTCAAAAAATGAAAAAGCTGGTCAGGATTATTGGGTTTTTGCACAGGGTCTGGCTAGGTGGCAACGCTGACAAATGATGTTTGACATTTGTTTGATATAATTAGTTTCAAACACGGGCGTATATAATAGGTCTGCTAACTCCGAGTTTAAAATGATTTTTTTTCCAAGACATTCCAGGAGGCCACGGGAGCTTGAAGTTTCTAGCGCCGTCTGCCGGATACTATGATGAAACTGTTTACAATAATGAATGAAATTGGCGTAAAAATGTCCTTGAACGCAAGTTGTCAGAAATGTCAGCTTTATAGATTAGGTTCTGTGACGTCTTTTTAGGACTCGCTTTATAAAAAGCAAAATTAAAGTTAATTCGCGATTAACTTTGCTAGGAACGATTTTAACCAATCAAATGTACGAGAAATGTCATGTCAAGCGTCAGTCGATAGTGCAGATTCTTGGAATTGGTAACATTATTGTGGTACCTAACTTGAACTACTACGATATCAGTTTGACAGCACCCGTTTTAGGAAAATTTATTAATGGAGTTGAAACACCTTACTTATACCATCGTGGTGTCAAATATAATTGTCATTTATGAAATGATTTCAAAACGGATGAGGTTATGGATTTGATCGCTCATACTTGATGTATATATGACATTCGTGACGTTCTTTAATATGGTACCTCCCAACATTACAAAATAAACAGTTTCTAAAAATAGTTTCACAAAAGCTTCCATTGTGAAACTGTTTCCGCTACAATGATCCTATTTATTTATCCTTGAAAATATTTCTGTTTTTATTAAAGCAATAAGTACGGTAATACATCCAGACAAATGGAAGAAATTCTTCGTCATTCCCTAAAAAACTAACAAAATAAGCGTTTAAGTCTGTGTTTTAGTGGTAATATTTAATCAGAATTAAATAATATTTACTATTTTTACCTCCAAAGTGTAAGCTAAGGAGGTTGTCTTCCGTTTCTCTCTGCCTGACGTCTGTCTGTCTGTCGTTTGTGTCAATTTTTTTAAATAAACTATCGGGAAAAGTAGAAAAAATAGTATATTAAACTAACATAAAAATATACAGTCATATCTTTAGACTTTAAATTTTTAAAGTTTCACCTCGAAATTTTATTAGAAATGCACTAAATAAAAATTCCATACAACATGCATTGTTTTGATATTTCGTTTCAATAGTTCTGACTAGAATGTTATACGTGGCATTATTTATATTTTATATTTGTGGTCACCTACATTTAAAATTTCAAATTTGGCGCTACAACTAGATGGCAGCAGTGAGGAGGAAGCAGTACGGGACACGACGGTATCTAAACAGAATTTTAATAAAACCGCTCGTTCGAAGAGTAAAAATTAGTTTTACTAAAAAACCGACTACAATTTCAGGAGTGGGATGAACGACCTTAACATCGGAATGACCAATGTCCGATTTGTGTTTGTGAAGTGCTGATTCATGGAATAGTTACACGGATAAATGGTAGAAGAGTCAAGCACGTGGGAAATGTGAGGTTATGTCAACTCATCGCGTTTTCATAAAAGGAGAAGATGGCAAGAACCCTCCAAGAAGTGGAGTTGTGTGACGACGCTATTAAGAATGGTCCTTATGCATCGGTACGTACGCTATACGGCCTTGCCTTTGACGACGGTAGTCGGTTGAACAGAAAGAAGCTGTGTCAATGGACGGGTTTCCCTTTTGAGATCGCATCAGATGACTTCAATGAGAAAGTGGATGAGGTAGTGCAGAATTTTACGATCGCAGAACTTTGTGGAGTCGGCCTTCTACTGGGGTTGAATTGTGTAGGTACTCACCAAGAAGTGGCCGAGAGAATTTGTTCAGTGTTGACTGATTTTGATCTGTTTACACAAGAAAGAGTTGTTCAAGAACAAGAGAGTGAAGACGAGGACGACGAAGATGATCCGGTAGACAGTGATGATGGTCGAGCAGGCGCGGCAGCAGTCCCTACGTTCACCATGTCTTTCAGAGACATCGAAGATTCCGTACGCACTTTTAGTGGTGATGACAATTATGCAATCGAGACTTGGGTCGCAGACTTTGAAGACATCGCTAAACTTATGAACTGGTCGGAACTGCAACGACTAGTTTTTGCGAAGAAATCATTAACTGGGCTTGCTAAGTTATTTATCCAAAG